GAGGGCAGCCCGTGAGCCAAGAGCCAGACATGCCAAACACAAGCAATCACAATCGATAATTACAGTTCATGAAGCGACGCCCTTCAGACCCTTGAGAGCAAATGCACAGAAGAGTTGCTGTAGCAGGACGACATATTAACATGAATTCAAAAAACTCAAGGAACTAATGCGTAGGGTTATTGTCTTTTTGGGGGATGCCCCCTATCGTTTTAAAGGAAAGCACAAAATCACACTCTTGGATGCAACGCCCTTGTATAAGTATTTTTGAAAAGCACTCGTATGTCTTTGCTCACCCCTCCCCGGTAACCTGCAAACGGTTAACCGCGACATCAAATGAGAAACACCATCTGTCATCTCTATCTCCAGGTGCTCACATCGATCACAGTGAGGCTGTTTAGCGATAAGGTTCTTTTTCTGGCTATTGACAATATATGACATTAATTGACACGAAGACCGACTGTCGACATGAAAAGAATTCATGTGTACATATCGTTGTTTGAGAGCCCGAGCCCTTGCTAGTGATTCAGCGGAGACACGGCGAGACACGGCGTGAAACCAGTTTTCAACTGTTGAGCAAGCTGTGAGTCAAGGTCGAACGTAATCGGTAACTAGCTCTCGGGACTTTACAAACTGATCTAGCTCTTGCGAGCATGGATCTAAGTGCGTTCCGCAACCGGGTCCCTCTGAGGTCTAGTGTGTGATCCCCACGGGGCGCGTTGAGCATAGAGCATAGACCCTTAACAAGGAAGTGTCAGTGATCACTTGTCTTGCGTGACTCCTCCCTGATTAGTGAGATTGCTGAAAGCTGACTGCCGCCAACGGCTGCGGATATTTGTTTGAACTTTCTTATTTTGTTGTTTGTGCTTCGTTGCGCCGTACTTTGGACCTTGAAGTGCAGATTTCATGGCAGGCGCAGTACTGTGCGGTCTTTGAAGCGCAGCTTTCGTAGCAGGCGCAGTACTTTGCGGGCCTTGAAGTGCAAGTTTCGTGGCAAGCGCAGTACTTTGTGGACCTCGAAGTGTAGTTTTCGTCATAGGCGCAGTACTTTGTGGACCTTGAAGTGCTGATTTAGTGGTAGGTGCAGTACTTTGTGGACTTTGAAGTGCAAATTTCGTGGCAGGTGCAGCACTTTGTGAAGTGGAGATAGAGATAGATAGATAGATTAGATTAGGTTGGATTGGATTGGATTGGATTAGATAAGATAAGAATAGATAGATAGATAGGTAGATAGATCGATAGACAGATATGTAGACAAATGGATAGAACAGCGTGGAAAGACGCTACGCTAAAAGCTGGGTGGGGTTGAAGTGTAGGGTTTTGCAGGTCATGTGTCTTTAGAGCGAAGAAACATGCGCAGCTTTCTTGATGTCTTGTGAAAGCTCATGCGTTACACCTGGGCTATGCACCGCAGCCCTTTGCTTGCGCGAGAAACAAGAGCTTTTTGCTGTGTAGGTTATGAGCCCAAGGGTGCGCTAGGCACTTTTGGGTATCGTAGAGGGCCTCATGAGCGAGGAAGCATCGGAGAGAACTCCGGAATGTGGTGGCCTCAAAGCCATTGAGGATGCAGGCCCTAGTGACGGGTTGATGCGACCTAGTGGGCCTCCTGTGGTGCTAGGACCAGCTGCGGTGAATCCATTCTGGTCCGAAAGGTTCCTAGATGAAGCTGTTTTGCGGGCTCTACGTCCAGCTGACTTGCCAGTAGAGCCACCTGAGTTGCTCCCTGATTCTGCCTTGTCGCCGCCGAAGGAAGGGGTGGAGGCATTTCGTACCTTCTTGCGCGGCCTGATGTCGGAAAATGCAAGACTCTGGACTGAGCGTGAATCTTGGGCAGCTGGACAAGGAAACCATGGGTGGGGCAATCCATCACCGGCTTTCAATCATCCACCTCCGTGGGTGTATGGCATGATGTCAGAAGGTCAACAAAGAGAGAAGAACATGATGGATTCACTGCTTGAGGCATTGCGGTCTTCGTGGGTGTCTTTAGGGGATGGTGGGCAAAAAGGCTCTGGCGGAGATTGTGGAGGGCGGGGTGCTGTTCATGGTCTTTCAGGCGATCAGGGAGGTCTTCATGGGCACTTTGGGGGACCGCGCGCAAGTCTCATGGAAGTGTTCAATCGTGTCTCGGCGACTTCAGGAGATGTCATGCAGGGCATGGTGGAAGCTTCGAAGACTTTGGCAAGGCATGGTTTCGGGGGTCAATGGCCTGAACAGCCATCGCTATCGGAGCTCCAGGGTGGCACAGTTGGAGGGCAACCTGGTGCAGGACAAGGTCTTTCCAGTCAACCTGATCAGCCAGATCAGTCTCGGGGGCCAAGTTCTTCGGTTCCTCAACATTCGAGCTCCAATGGACGTGGAGGTCAACATCCTGCGGTGGTGGTCGTCGTGGAGGTGGCCATCATGGTCTTGGAGGGCACGATCGTGGTCTCTCGTCAGTGAGTGGGTGCACTGGGGAGTGGTCTGGGTGGCAGCTGTTCAGGGGGTTCGGAGGACCGGGTGGAGGCTTTCCTGGGGGTGCTCCAGCCGGTGGCTTTCCTGGCGCTCCAGGTGCTGGCCCAGGTGCTCCAGGTGGAGGAGATCCCCACGGGCCATCCCACCGTGGTTGGGAGGGCTCATGGCCCAACAGGAAACAGTCAGGGCAGTTGAACTAGGAGCTTTCGGAATCAGAGATCGGTCCATTGATCGCTGGAGATTGGTTGACAACCATCGGCCCTTTCCTCAGGGATATTTGCGCCAGTTCTTCACTTTGGTGGGATGAGGTCTTGAATGCGGCGGGTGCCCTCTACCGGGTTTGGCTGAATTCTGAACCTATGGAACGGCTTCGTTTGGTTCCGATCACACCTCCAGCCTTTCAGAGGCCACCACGGTTGAGAATAGAGCAACGAGGTTCAGTCGCTCTGCTGAAGGCGATTCCTGAGTCCCTGAGATCGGTTGGTGTCACAGAGAGAAGTGGGCTCGGTCAGCAGCATTGTCTTCAAGGTGCTGAGAGTATACCAGCCTGGAGGTCTTGGGGAGCGAACAACGTTGGCTGAAGCAGTTGGTGGATCAGAAGGTGCTGGGTGAATGGCTTTCATCACTTCGGGCGTGGAGGAGGTGGCAAAGCAATCGACACAAGTGGCCTTTCGCTTGCAGGCCCAGATCATATCTGGGAAATTAGCCAAAATACACCTTTGGATGATCACCTCTACGTTCCAGAAGGGGCATTTGCCACAACACACCTGGCTTTGACAAGCTAGCAGCGCGAAACTGTTCAGCAGTTCACTGCAAACGCCAAAGAGAAACATTCCTTCAAAATGTCTTGACCTGGAAAACTGGTGTTGCTGGGAAAGTGCAACTGCATTGTTGTGCTAAGTTGCCCAACAAAGGCAAATAGTGGAAAGAACGGCTAAGTTTTCAAACACTAGTGGGCCTGGCTACAAACTAATGTAGATTGCGCTTATGACCTATGACTAGGGCCAGGATGACTGGGGTTGAGGCTAGCGGCTAGTCACCAGTGACTGGGAGCCTAGTGCCTAGTGACTAGGAGCCCAGCGGCTAGGCCCTGTCACCTTCTAAGCCTCTAAGCCTTACCAAGGCTATATGGCCCCAAGGTCGGCTGGGGCTGGGTTTGCTGTGCTCCAGACAGGCAGACAGAATCGGATCTGGCTAAGGCGGTTACGGTTAAGCAGCTAGCGGCAGCAGGCTAGCGGTCGGCAGCGGCTAGCGGGTAGCGGCTAGCGGCTACCGGCTACGGCTACGGCCAAGCTAAGCGCGGTCAAGGCGGCTAACGGCTAAGGCTGGGCGGCTAGGCAACGGCTAGGCTAAGGCAGGCTGTGGGTTGGCCAGAGGCGGGGCCATGATGCAAGAAATGCGGGCCCCGAATCGGCGCCCATCTGGGCCTCTGGGCGGGGGCCAGCATTGTCAACAATGGTCTTCGCAATTTTGGTCTTTCCGAGGGACTTGCCCCCAATGACAAGGTACAAACCAGACCTTCCCATAGCCTGACCAAGTTGCGTGACATCTTGAACTGTATCACAATTTAGTTAAGCTGAAGTCAAAGAAAGTGACAAGGGTTCAGGGATGTCAACACCAAACAACCACCACAACCTATGGAGTGGGAGGTGTTCAGAGAGGTATCCTATGGTGTGGAGAACCCTAGCACGGGATGGAACACGACGGGGAATCCCAGAGGGATTGGTCCCCGTTGTGTTGGAGAGGTGTGTGGTGTGGCCGAAAGGGGGGCTCGGTACGGCACACCCGAAAGGAACACACAACACGAATGCGAACGCGCGAAATGCAACGAGCGAGTGCGGATGCAGGCGACCGACGAGCGAGCGACGTGCACCCTGAAACGCGCAGCGGACGCACGTTTCTTGAGCCAAATGTGTCGGTACGACACGGAGTCTTGTCCTGTACATGTTGTCCATAAGGCATGACAAGTTAGGGGTTACATCTGTGTGTAAAACTTTGACTCCCCCCTCGCCGTTTTGGCGTGCCCCAGGACATTATGTACATGGATTAATTACCGCGCAGGATGCAGCGGCTTTGTCCTCTACCCTAGACCCTAACGAAAAGCTTCGGTCCCTGGAGGACGGCTGTGGCTCGCGGATATCGGTTCGAATGCCCAAAAGGCATAAGGCCTTATACCACTTTTGTGGTGGTAGAGCCTTTGTGAAGATGTCCGCGGCTTGCTCGTTGGTGTCTATGTATTGGACTGTGATACATGGGTCATCGAGGCACTCTTTTAAGGAGGATAGGTCCTGTGATTCCGAAAAAAACACTGAACACCAAAACGCACAAGGTCTTTAGCAACCTGAGAAGAACAAGAGGAGATATTCAACTCTCAAGGCATTTGATGTTGGGGTGGGAGATCGTTCGAACTTGTTTGGCAAAAACGCTTGATGAGGGAACAACCGGAATGAAAAAGAATACCATGGCTTCTTGCGTTCTGAATGGAACAAATCTATTCCCTACTTCTTTTGAACGCAAGCTGAAGTTGGCATGAATGGCAGGACATGGAAGGCCTATGGCATTCTTCCCAAGCATGGCCGAAAAATAATACAGTTTCTGAACAAACTGCCTTTAACACAAAGCAAGTGGGAGAAGTAATGAAACACCACCCTACCTTTATTGACATGGCAGTCCTTCTGGAGTTGCCTGACCCAGACTGCTGAATTCGCTGTGCTTCTGCCACCTTGAACGGGTGAGGTCTAAGGTGGAACATACTACTGCGCACCTTCAATAGTCTCAATCCCCCCCTACAATTACAAACTCAGACGGTACTTCAAGAATACAAATCTCAACAAATGTGCAAACCAAAACAATGTGAATGCTTCAGTCGTCTGCCTTGTCCCTGTTGTGGTGCTTCTGGTCTTCGACCTGTCTTCAAATACTCCTTGATGTCCACCGGTTTCCACCCGCCAACTTCATCAGGCACTTGGGTCATGTTCAGAACCCTCTCCGCATTTTCAGCCTTCAAGTACTCCTTCAAGTACTCCTCTGCCTCTCCTTTTGACCATCTGTAAGAAGGCGCCTTTCGCTGCTCTAGGAGACGGGTGCGTGCTCCGTTGAGATAGGCTACCTTGTTAGCAGCTTCCTCACTTTGTGTGACGGCAATCAGGTGGTGGTCATATTCATGAGCAGCTCTGGTGAGAGTCAAGAGGTCTGTCTCTTGTCCCCCCAGTCCGATATCAAAGGTGTTGTCAAAGACCATCTGTAAACGAATGCCGTGCTGTTTCAGGATACGAAACAGCTCCCCAGCCACATCCACAGCATCTGCAACATCTTCAACGCGGAAGAAGTCCTTGAGGTTCTTCTGGAAATCTCGCTGTAGGAACACCGTAACTGCAGACTTCTGTGTGCAATTCCGAAGTGCCAGTGCTGCGGCGACAGACTTGCCGACCCCCGGCTCGGCATGCACAGCAGAGAGACCACCTGTTCGGTTGTCGTTCAACACTGTTATCATCAACCGCTGGAAGCCAGTACCTTCGACTGTCTGTTCAGGTAGTTCTACTACTTGCGGGATGATGGTTTGCTGTGACCGCATCACGTTCAGCAATCTCTCGGCATGATCTTTGACTTCTGGCGACATACTTGCCAGCAGTGGGACTTCGGCAAATTGTGTCTCAAACCATGCCTTCCGCTTACCCACGAAATCAAAACCGCTTATTGCAGATGACGCAGCACCCAACGCTGCGGCTGCGGCTGGGTCAACCGCATGGACCCCCACGCTCGTTGGCTGTGCTTTCTCGCTGTGACTTTTGGCGGTCCAAGAGCCAACAAAACCGCAGAGCTCTAGGCTCACATGGGTCAAGAACGCCAGAAGCACCATCCTCCGACATCTGCGCGCCATGATGCTCGATGGACAAGGTGTTTTGCTAGTTTGAGGTCATCTTGCGTCTTTCAGAGGTTCACCGTTCCCACTATGCTGCTGTAGCACTAAATGTGAAGAACCCCCCTTTCACGAGCCTTTGCAGCGGGGTTGACTTGCAAGGTGGTTCAGTTCACATACTTCGAAGGTAGCACAAGAAACATGCAAAGAGGAATGAAAGAAAACTTTCGTCAAACTTGTTCCCTACACATGAAGGCCTTACTAGTAGTAACAAGTGCCACGCTAGTAGTAACAGGCGCCACGCTAGTAGTAACAATGTTCCTTTTTCCATTTTTTTCAACCGTTACTACTAGCGTGGCACCTGTTACTACTAGCGTGGCACTTGTTTCTAATAGCAAACATTGTTACTACTAGTGAGGCACCTGTTACTAGTAGTAAGGCGCCTGTTACTACTAGCGTGGTTTGATCGGATGATGTCTTGTGAGCTTCCAGCGCCAACCCAAGTTGGTGTCTGGATACCAAAAGCTAAACAAGGGCCCACAGCAGATTTCTTCCGCCCGTTAGGGATGCCAGATACTCTTGATCGGCTACAAGATGGCACAGCTGCTGCCATCCTCTTTCGTACTACACGGCATTGCTTTCACCCAGCACAGACTATGCTGAATGCCTTTCGAGAACCACAAAGAGCTGTGCTTGAAGTACAACGTATGCTGGAAGGAGAAATCCCTGCGTCAGCGTTATTTGCTGACCTCTCCAAAGCATTTGAACGAGTCAATGCCTACTGGATATTGCAGGTATTACACATTCGGCAATGTTCCCCGTGGGTTTTGCAGTTGGCTAAGTACCTCCTGTTTGGAAGAAGAATTCGTCACAAAGTGCAAGGGCGGCTGCTGCCTCCGCGGGAAGTCTTCTCAGGAGTTGACATGGGGAGATCTACCTCAGTGTTTTTCTTTTGCCTTGCAATGGACCCAATCTTCGTAGCCCTTAATCAGGTTCCGCGAGTCCTTCTTGTTGCAGGGTATGTTGATGACACCACAATTGTCGGGACACAACGAGACCCAGCATGGATCAAGGAAGTCTTCAGGCTTGTTATATAACACATGGTCTGCTGCAGGGGTTGTTATGGACGCGCGTACGTGCTGGCAAGTCGGTTTGTCTAGAACTCCTCTTCCTGAGCAACAGTTATTACGATTTGCTGACTATGCTGAAGCCTTTCTACCTTGGCATGAACAGGGGGAAGCTACCATCTCTGCTGCTGTCCAACATATCCCCCACTATGCACATTACTTTGTATTGCGTCATGGTGAACATTGTGCAATGCCAGTCAGCGCCAAGAATGGATGCGTCACGGACACCCCCTACTGTTTCAGCTTGCGGCTAGCCCCTGTGACTGCAGATCGAAAACCCAGCTACTGACCAGCGCTGCTTTCTCTGCTTCGCAGTGTTACCAAGTTGATCGGGCTGGTCTAGGAGGACAATGTATAGTCCCGACCACGGTCAACTTAGGTCTCACCATCCATACGGGATGGTCCTGTAGAATCCAAACCGAACAAATGGAGTTTGCGCCGCTACGGCTTTCCATGCCATCACTCCTGGCTAAACAACTCCTCAAGTTCCGCACGCGCCTCATCGCTGGGAACAAAGGCAATCTCAGTATACATGCCAAGATTATTTACTTCAACGCCTTCTCACTCAGCTTGTTTTATTACGTCCAAACACAACGTTACTTCTCTATGCCGCTTCTCAAACCATTGTATAAAGCGTTGACAGATTTCCTTCTCAAACGGCACTGGTTTCCTCAGCTGAAGCTAGTAGGCTTATGTCGATGGCTGCGTCTGGGTCCCCTGCTAGACCCAGCGATTATGCATGCTGTCTCTTTGTTTGGCTGTTATCTGAGACAAGGGCATCACATGCTCCCTGCCACGCTCAATCGCATAGAAGACTCATACACAAGACAAGTGTACTCTTGCTGGAAGTACTGGCAGCATAAACTTGCCCCGGATGAAACCCGCCAGCTTGTGTATATCCTCAGCCAGCCGCGCGACCCTACCCAAGCGGCGCGGCGTTTCCAAGAGCGCTTTAAGCAGTTCGCCATAGCAAGCGAAGTAGAAAGCGCGGTCTTTCACCTCTCGAGCAGAATTTCCAACAACGGCTGGGCGTTTGGGCCCTCCCTTGACTTTCTTGAGTGGTTGTCCCAAATGCCGGTGTCTCAGGTAGGAGCCGTACCGCGCTTTGCTGTTCTGCGGTGGGCACTTGGTGAGGATCCAGATTTGTGGCTACCCTTGCGTGGGCGGGTCAGCCGCAACTCGCCTTGCGCATGGTGTGCTCAGAATGCAAGAACATACCCGTTCGGTCCCAACAAGGGAACCCTGTGTGTCAATTGCATGGGCGCTAACCCTGGCCAATTTGTTGAATTTCCACCAGAAGCGCTTGCTTTTCTCAGACAGCATGTCCCAGCCTGTCAGGGTAACGCCGTTGCCTATCAAGAATTGCGCGAAAGACGCGAAGGGCCCTCCTTGGTGACGTCGCCCTGACGCCGTGCGTCCTATGCCAGAGCGGGTCCAATGCCATTGACCACTGGCTCTCTTACTGCCCCGTAGTGCACATCACCTGGGCTGCCCTTCATAAAGAAACACCACCGCCAATCAACTGGCGTCAGACTCCGGCCAAACACGTAGGGGTTGCCCTCACCTACTTGTTGTTCCACCTCCGCAGGATAGTCAGGGAATATGGGGGGCTCCGCCCGAACATTGAATGTGTCAAGGTTAGGGCCATCTCAGGACATGCTCTAGATCTGTGGCAACGCACGTACCAGTCGTTTCCAGCCACTCTGCTAGCCTGGTTTCGGGCACCGCCCACCCAAGCAGACCTCCACTGCACATCCACTGCATACATACGCGTTCAACGATTTCCTCAGACACAGCTAGAGGCCGCCCTACTCCCGCACAAGGGCCTCTGCACTACCAAGGCTTTTAAGAAAGATGAAACGATAGCCACCTTTGTTACGGCCGATGCTAGATTACGGATGCTGCTGATGCAATATTTATGACGTAAAATAGCAGATAAGACAGGGGCCTCTTAAGCTCGCTTAAAGCTCGCCCAAAACTCGTTTTCAAGCTCGCTTAAAACTCGCTTGCGCTGTGCTGATGTCCAATGGAAGCCCAAGAGTCAACAGGCAAGTCCAAAGCAAATTCAACTGATCATTCAAAAGTTCAAGCAAAACTCAGGGAAAGTCCAATTAAAGCTCGCGCAAAAGTAGTTTCCCGTGGCGTGAGCGTCGTGGTGAGTTCGGTGCTAGTTTATTTCGAGCTAAGCTCGCAGAAGCTCGTGAAAAGCTCGTGCGCATGCAGTTTTTGAGCTTCGATTCGAGCTTTTGTCTAGTTTTCTTCTACCAAAGCTCGTCAAAAGCTCGCGCAAAGCTCGCCCAAAACTCGCTGAGCGGGCGCTTCCCTGGTTTCCCTAGCTCCTTGAGTTTCGCTTGAGCTTTCCTTTGAACCTGTGAGTTTTGCTTGGACTTTGCCTTGAACTTTTGAGTTTTGCTTGGACTTGCCTGGTGAGAGGTGAGTTTTGGTTGGACTTTTGAAGTGAGTTTGGACTTTTTTTATTCTTGTTTTTAAGTTATAGATCCCCTTGTCTTATCTAGCTATTTTAGATCATAATGCAATATGCAAAACTGCCCTTTCCAGCAGCCACTGCGACACTACTGCCGTACACATGCCAGTGTGGGGCCACCCATCTCAAACTCTGCGCCACCGAAGATATCCTGGACAATGTGGCGCTGCTACTTGGAGAAGCGTCCCAATGGAAGGGATGCCTGGTCCAGTTTGATGGCTCCGCACATAAGCGCACCCGAGCAGGTGGAGCTGGGGTTAGCCTACTCCAGGTCACTCAAAACTCTACCGCCCTTGTCCGTTGGAAGTCAGTGCCCCTTCTTAACTGTCCTGATAATGTCGTTGCGGAAGCGCATGCGTGCCTGCAAGCAGTGCACCTAGCCACTGAATTCTACCATGACAGCCTCAAACAAGGTCTCGTCCAAGATGGGGTTGTCATACAAGGTGACATTCTCCCCTCCTAAACTATCTCCAAGGGCGTGGTCGTATTAAGAGGCTTGAAGTCGTTAAAATCCTTGAAGAATGCCAACAGCTGCTCGCGAGAGCCCCATTCATCTTTCGCCTTGTATATCTCCCAAGAGAATGCAATAAGCTTGCTGACCATTTCGCAGGCGTCGCTAGTGCAGCTGCGCAAAAGGCCTTCGATCACCCCCTTCAGGTCGTCAGCCATCGCGCCCCTCCGCCGTATCATCTCGCGCAAAAATTGGGTTTCATAATTGACCGTGGTATGTTGCATACGAGCCCTGCTTTTCTACTCACTGAATGTCCTGCGGCAGCCCCCCGCAACTCGCTAAGCTTCTGCAGAAAAATGTGAAAGCAAGACAAAACACACAGGACTACCTCGCGACCGCAGGTAGTCACCACAGATCCCTCACAGTTGGGTATAAGCCATCCTCCCTAGACGGAAGTGGCCGCTTCTATGCCGTTGGAAATGCTGCGCAGAGGCTACCCCGCAAAGTTAGATTGATTCTCTTCGGCGCGGACCACTATGAGCTTGATATCAGCGGGGCACACTATGAACTCACAAGGAGATGCTGCGCGGCCGCAGGCGTCCACCTCTCACTACAACCAATTCGGATCGTGCGAGAATGGCTCTGTGGGGCATTTGCCGCGCCCGAGGCAACCGGAGATCCTACTCTCATAGACACCCTCGTCAAAAGGTGGCCGCTTGTCATCATCAACAGCAGCACACCGCAAGAAGCAGTTTCATACATACAGCACCAACTCCTACACCTGCGCGACCAGCAGCCTGCACAACTTGTGCGATTTGCATATGAACTGCATGCAGCGAGCCGGTACGTTATCGACAGCCCACCTGCCTGGAGTCCAACCCGGACTCTCGAGAGGAGCCGCGCTACCCCCTTTCGCTTCTATGAGCATCTAGAACAACAGCTCACATGGGCTGCGTAT